TCCACATCCACATCCGCATGACAAAATCCGCATCCGCATCCGCATCCGGCCGGATATCTAAAAACCCTTACCATATCCTCACATTGGACGGATTCGGAGCGGATCGGATCGGATAATATCCGCTCCGTTTTCACCCCTAACTTAAACAGATCTACTAAGACTTGAATAGACTTAAATGGAGCACAGATGAATTAGTTATGATTTTTAGAAGATTATTACTGTTTTTACTATAAACAGGAAAGTCCTTAATATTTTATTGCGCAATAAAGCCCAGGGCTGACGTCAGCCCAATATATAAAGCTCAACTAGTCAAGTTATAATAACCCGAGGTATCAAGGAATAAAGTGATCAAGAACAAAAGGGCTATAACAAACAATAGGTTAATTCCACCCAATGACATTCAAAAATAAATGCAGTAGTTGAATAGAAACAATAGCTTTAAACGGGATCAACATGCTCAAAGGGTTGTTTGGGATCTATGTGACTTGCCTTTCTGGCCTTGGAACTCTTCAAATTCTTCTCCTGCAAACTCAGACTCTCCGGGAACATCGGAATCTAAAGAGAAAAGAGCAAAATCACCCAAACAGCACATAAACAAGCATGAACAGTACATGTGGCTATTTTTAACATGTAGATCTTAATTTTAGAAAAATTTAGAGACTTGAACCAACTAAATCCAAGCTAAGATGAATTAGTTATGAATTTTTAAAGATTAAATCGGATTAAAACACTTATATGGCTTTTAATTGAATTATGACGCAATAATGAATTATTTTGGAAAAGAAAAAGGGGATTATTGCGTCATCGGCTAGGGTTCGCGGTAGACCGGGTGCACGGCGGCGGCTCACGGAAACGAACGGCCGAGATCGATCCATCCAAAACGAACGGCTGGGATCTATCGGCCCACGACCGGTCCACGGGACATGGCGACGATGACGTCATCACCGGCGGCGGCTCGGGCGCGCAAGCTCGTCGGTGAACGATGACACGACGGCGCTAACGAAGAGCACCAAAATGATGCGAGCGACGTGGCGAACTCACCGGTGACCAAAACAGCGGCGGAAGCTCAACGGACGGCGACGGCGACGAGGAAGAAGCGGCGACGACCTTCGGCTTGACAACGACGGCGGTGCTCCGGCGGTCTTCGGTAAAAACGGAAGACGGGATGAGGATGGCGACGGCTTGGCGAACCCGATGGTGGCCTTCCCGAGCGACGACGACAACCGGAGCGGCGGCGGCGCATGGCTGGACAAGCGGCGGCGACGGCGGCGCTAGGCTACACGGCGCTAGGGTTCTATCGGCGACGAGAGGCGAAGGCGAGGGTGGCGACGGATAGCGGAGACACCGTGGGTCCTTTTATAGGGGCTAGGAGGCGGCGACGAAGGCCCATGGCGACCGGCGACGTGATGGAAAGATTAGGGTTCGGGGAGAGAGACGAATCCGATTCGAGATCGAATCCACGGATTTCCAAACGATTTTAGCCGACGATTCCAAAAGAGAAAAGGTAGAGTGGATCGCGGGGATCAATTTCCCTCTATCAATTTCACCGGATCAGGAAAGAGATGAACGAATTTGGAAGGGCGGCGGCGGCGCAGCTCGGCTAGGGTTCGGCCGGGCGACGGCTGGAGGTAGACGAAGACTGACAGGTGGGCCCCACCTGTCAGCGGGCGGACGCGCGCGCGCGAGCTGCGGCTCGGCTGCGGGCCGACTTGGGCCTGGGAGGAGAGAGAGAAGGTTTCGGACCGACTTTCGGCCTAAAGCCAAAAGAGAACTTTTTAAAACTTTTTCCAATTTAATTTATTCATGAAATACAATTCCATTTATTAAAAATACTTCCTTGGCTCAAATAAATCCCAGAAAAATCTAGGAAATATAGAATCAACTAAAGTATTTAATAAAATTTTATCTGGCCCACTTTTATATTGGAATTTATTATTTAAAATTAGATCTTTTCTTCTAGACCTTTAAAATCATTTCTAATAATTCCAATTAAACAACAATTTATATATTTAGGATTTTTAGGGTGTGATAGGCGGTGACACATAGAGGAATAGAGGAGAGGGATTAGGGGTGGAGAGGACAACCACGACGGCTATCGTGGCCGGCTGGAGATGGAGAAAAATGGAGATGCTCACCGGAGGACCAAGGGAATGGTGTTTTGGTGGGATTCCGGCGACGCGAGGTGGTGGCCAAGGTAGCTCTTGCGGCGGCGAAGCTAACGGAGGTGGTTGCACAGTGTGGCGGTGGCGGTAGAGGGCACTGGAGGAGGCGGTGAGGTAGGAAAAAGAGACAGGAGGCTCGGGGGAGTGTTTTTATAGGTGAGGGGGAGGCGGCCCTATCTCGGCGGTGACGACGTGGGGGAGGTGGAGAGAGAGAGTGAGAGGGATTCAAATTAAATCCCGCCCCATGCGGGCATGTGCGCGCGGGCAGGAAGGCAGAGTAGTGGGCGGTGACGTGGGGCCGGGTGCGGGGCGCGAAGTGGGCGCGGGAGGAGCGGGGAAAGCGGGCGTCGTGGACGCGGCGGTTGGGACGGCGGTTGCCGCTATCGGCTAGAGGAAGGGGACAGGTCCGATAGGTAGGGCCCACCTGTCAGTGTCCAGGAGAGAGGAGGGAGGGGGCGCGGGCTGTTGACGATCCTTAAATCATAATATCTAACCGTCAATACCTGCATATAATGAAATAAAATATGGTATCCAACATAATGGTAGGGCTTATTTCTAACAATTTCCACGAGTATTGGTGTATATTCACATGCAGGTGACAAACTACCAAAGTTGAGAGGAAATATACATAAAGGAGGAGGAGAATCAAACTCGTGTCTGAACTTATGGAGTTTTGGACCCAAAAACCCAATTAAACACCTCCAAATGGCCCAATCCACCATGCCAATGGGCTGAGGGCCTCAAAATTAGTGTTCACGAGGCAAAACGGGCCGAACGGAGCCGTCCTGGGTTCAGCCGAACCACCAGTTCGGCCGAACCGGTTTGGTCTCCGTTCATCGCCATCTTCCATGTGTACGCTCCTGATCACTTCCCAATGGCGGTTGTGGGGCATTTCCGACAATTCCCATCAATGTAACCATCATTTGGAGCCTATATAAAGAGGAGCTCGCTCTCATTCACAGCACACAACTTTGAGCTGAATTACAAGAGGCTCTATTGTATATTTTGTACATTAGAGAGTGAGGGGAAGCTCTGGAGGAGTGCCCGGATGTTTGGCGCTCATCCGACTTCTACCTCGACGAGTGTAGTTTCGTAGGAGGAATTCTGGAGGAGTACCGGAGCTGTCGATAAACTCTGCTCCGGGTTTGGAGAACTTCTTCAAATAAGTAAGCATTCGTGTTCCTTTATTATGTTATTTAATTACTTTATCTAAGTAAGATAGATTTCCATATTTGCGGGTTCATTGTTTAGTATTCGTACTAAGCACTCTAGTACTAGGATTCCGGATAGAGAAGGAAATTCCTGCGTAAGTATTAGAGCAGTAATTAATAACTTAGACGTGGTGTCTAGGTTAGAGATTACTTTTGTTTGTTGTGTATCCCACGGATTTGTCAAAGGTAGCCCTGAATCCCATCCTAGTAATCCTCCACATTCGGATATATCATAGTGCTATAGCCGGAACCACGCTGGCAGACCAGCAGGGGTCGGTGCCCGAAGCAATAGATATGAAATTACATTTGCTTAGCTTAGATAATTAAAACCCATAGAAAGTCCTCTCTAGCCTAGCCTGCCTACCATCTGTTGTTGTTCTTGGATAGTCTTAGCCTTATGTAGATTACACACGTTCTCTGAGTTTGATATCCTTTTGGAGTCACCCGAAGGTGAAGTGCTACAGCGGTATTCCGTGCGCTTGCGGATTTATCAGTGGTCGTAAGAAATACCAACACGGGCCGGCCAAACAAGGGAACGGCATGGGAAAGGAGTTGGGCCGACGGCCCAAGAAAGAAAAAGAAGAAAAGGAAAAAGAGGAAAAAGAAAAAGGGATTCATGTGATTTATATATTGCATAGAATTGATTTTAATCGGTTAAAATTATTTCCGAGGCGCTGAAAATTTCGCTAAAAATCCTGTTAATGTATTGTGACATGTGGAACTTAAGAAAAATTCCACGATACCAATTGCATTTATTAGTTAAGGTTCATCTCTAGGTTAAATTAAACAATTTCTTCAGATAATTTATTAAATAAATTTTAAAGCTAGAAAGGGGAACTTTAGGGGCATGATACATGACCATAGGATATAGGGTATGCATTATCCCCTGACAGAAAACTCTATTCATCCCTTAAGGGAATATACCCTTATTTTTGCATGTCACTTAAAAGTTATCAAAAAGAATTTGAAACAAATTAGTAAGATAGATCATTATGTGATATGTCACTCCACAAACATGCACGTTCAAATTCAACTTATACAAGTAGAAACAAAAATAAAAAATTTTGACTATTCAATATGAATAAAATGTGTAATTTGCGATCAAAATTGTTAGAATTGTATAAGTCGAAATTCAACTTGCATGTTCGTGGAAAAATATATCATATGTTGATCTATATATTTTTATTTTTTTATGACTTTTTTATGATTACTGCAATTGTTTTAAAATTGAGAAAGTACCAAAATAACAAATAATGATACAGAAGGTGGTAATCAGGGAAATAAACTAGTAAAACATTGATAAGTGTGAAATAAAATAATACAAAAGTTGATATGAAGAATAAACTAGTAGTACATATTGTGGTAGTTGGGAAATAAATTAATAATGTGTCTAAATCACAAAATTTATATATTGTGACAAATTTGAAAGATAAAATCATCTATCCTGAGACAGACTGACGGAGGGATCGGAGTACCCCGTAACAAATAAAGAAGAAGAAGAAAATAATAACAATAATAGTAATAGTAAAAGAAGAAAAAGGCCTATTTCACTTCTTGGAGGCCCATTAGCAACAAGCGGCCCATTCCCAAGCTGGCATGAGGCATCTTAGGGCTTGTGCCGGTGTGCCCTCACCTGCTGCCCTCCCACCCCACCACTCTCCCTCCTCTCTCTTTCCTCCCAACCTCTTGCGGCCACACGAGCCAAGCAGCGAGACCCCCGGATCGAAACGCACACCGGCGGCGATGGCGATGGCGGCGCTGCGACGGGACGGGAGGCGCGTCCTCCTCTCCTCCACCCCATCCCCGGCGGCCGCCATGGCCGCGCGCTCCCCCGCCGCCGCCCACCAGTAAGATCCCCTTTCCCTTTTCCCGCTCCGCCTCCCCCCCCTCTCTCTCTCCGCCAGATCCGCCTCCGGTTCGATTCGTCCGTCTCCGCTGGATCTGGCTGCGGATCTGGTGTTCCCGTGGGCGAGTTTATTGGGCGACCAGTGGATTCATTACCCTCGGATTTGAGGCGCATCTAGGGCGAATTGGAGTTGGTGCTTGCGGCTGCGAAATGTATGTGTGGGTGTGTTATGGGTTGTGGTGGTGATTGCGTAGACGAAGGATTTGTAGTCTCCTTTTCTTTTCCCACCTTTAGTGGACGAGATTGGAATCCGTATGAACTTTGGCTGCATCCCCTTATGGATTATGAAATGGATGTGAATGCTGGAAAAGGGTTCTGATGCACTGCTACAAGGGAGAAAAAAAATCCATATGTAGTTGTAACTTTAATCTCACATGCTGTTGACTGGTTCGGCATGTTGTTTGGTTTGTGATTGTCCACACGGATTGCAACCGCTCATAAAGTATGACTTGTATAGAAACCACTCATGTTTCTGGTGGGTTTTACTCTCATTGTCTTGCATTGAATGATTAGTACGAAATGTGCAGTGTCATAGATGTCATTTCTTGTTTGTTAAAATTGTAGCCTCGTATAGCTGGTTACTTTTGTTGCAAACAATATGACATTATATTGTTAATTGCACATTTTTATCGTGCATGTAAGTATTTACACCAAATTCCTTGGAATTATCTCTCTGCATGATCCATGCTTTTGTTATACATGACTGCTCGATTTCTCTTTAAATTATTCGCTTCTTGCTTCCACTATGTATTACTTTCTAACTGAATATACTGCGTATTTAAAAACCAGGGAGATTGCCCCACTAGGCGCACGTTCTGTTTCAACACAAGTTGGTTAGGATCTTCCTTCTCTATTCTATTTCTTTCCGAACATATATATTGACCCTGGCAATTGAAGCAAATTATTGGCCCCTCAACTAATAATACTTTTTTACAGTGAGAACCCGCATGAAGAGTGTTAGGAACATCCAGAAGATTACAAAAGCAATGAAGATGGTTGCAGCATCAAAGCTTCGAGCTGTTCAAATAAGAACAGAAAATTCACGTGGTCTATGGCAGCCATTCACCGCTCTTCTTGGGGATGTCCCTAGTATGTTATGTTTCGTTGTAGTACATATTTACAGTACCTTTCTGCCGTAGTTATTATAGCTAAAGTTGATGCCTATCTTATTGAATGTCATGATATGCTAGAAGCCTATGGCTACATTAGCATGCCTGGCTGCCACAAATCAAATGTACAACCTTATTCATGATCTAGGAAGTTCATTTGATGTTGGTTCTTAAAAGTCAATGGCATTCAAGGTAAGAGATATTTGATGGTGGGTAATTATCCCTGGTAAAGAAATATGTAGATATATATACTATGGGTGAATCTTCTGAGCTATTGGTTCAGTGGTGTAAGCATGGACTCTACATCTATTTACTAGACACGCTTCTCACTAATTTATAAATGCACCACAGGTCTCATGCCACTTCTAATGATGCTGTGATCCTCAATTCATGAGGAAACATTGATAGGCTTGCCTGTTGAGTTTACTCCATGCTTGGATCTGTCTAAATTATTTAATTCTTACGGAACAGCAGTTTTAATTTAACTGAATTAGATTGACATCATGTCTTTTTGGCAATAAGATTATTGAGTTTTTGGTTTAGTTATTAATGTCTTTGATGCAACCACCAGGTGTCGATGTCAAGAAGAATGTTATTGTAGCCATTACCTCTGACAAGGGTCTTTGTGGTGGTATCAACTCAACGTCAGTTAAAGTCAGCAAAGCACTCCACAAGTTGACTTCTGGTAATACTTTGCATGGTTATTTTTGTTATCATTTAAACATTAGAAGATACTAAAACAAAGTTTTTGCACCTCAAATCAGGACCAGAGAAAGAAAGCAAGTATGTCATATTAGGAGAAAAGGGTAAAGTTCAACTCATTCGTGACTCCAAGGATAACATCGAGATGACAGTATCTGAGTTGCAGAAGAACCCTATCAACTACACACAGGTATGTTGTTTTCCTGAGCTTTTACTATGCTATGGGTGCACCTTTTATTATGAAATGCTATTCATTATTTGTGAATTTGTTTCTGAATTAAGTCTAAAGTTTGGCAATTGAAAACTGTTTTGTAGTTTCTTATATTGTCAGTGAATTTTGCTCTCGAATTTTGAATTTTGCAAGAGAAGCATTCCTAATGTAAAAGGAATTCTGTCATGTCACATTGGACTTCTGATTTGGAACACATTTCAATTTGTCAATGACTAATCTCTGTTATTATAGCCAAAATATATATACTGATTTATCAATCTAAAATTTTACCAAATCAGACTCACTTCAGCCCACTCCGACTGTACCTTCCATTCCTTTTTCTCCATACTTTCTCCTGTTGCTGGCAAGCTGGGGCTAAGACTTGTTACAGAAAATCACTCTTTGAGATACTCGAATGAGACATAGACATGATTGATCATCAAATGATGTGTTCCTCTTGTGTTTTAATAGTAACACTAGTTAGGGACTAGGAATAAGGCAATGATGTTGGAGCTATTGCAAGCAATGAGGCAGGGGAAGGGAGCCTGGTGCCATCTTGGGAGGCTCCCTGTTTCAATATTTCCTTAAGCCAGCCACCACTACCTGGGTTCTCTAAGGCTGTCACCTGTCCTGTCCTGCTGATGTGTCCACCTGTGCCACTGAATCACAGCTGCTATGTTGGGGGCTGACACAGCTGCCATATTGGATCTGACTTGGTTTTGCTGGCCCTAGTTGGTGGGGAAAAAGGTCTGATAAGGGGATGGAGCATCAACCTGTGCTGAAAAAGTGGGAGGAGGGTACGGTAGTCAAGTTGCATGGCTAGTCATGGACCAATTGACAAGTCAGCCACAGAGCACGACTTGAGGGCTACAATTTGATTTGGGAAACTTGGAATACGAGATAAGAGGAGAGCTGTTCAGTTTTCTCCTCCATATATGATTAGAGGTAGCCACCGGAGTCTGAGTAAGATTAGAGGGAGCACCAATAGTTGCACACCTGCTTTCCTCATCTGCTCCCTGTTTTTTCTGACCTCACTTCTAATGTACCAACTCAAAGGCTTGTCTTTGACTAAGTCATGATTAGTCCTCAAGTTGGTTTAGGTCTTGAGGGATGACTAGACTGACTGTGCGACTAACAACCATGGCTGAAGAATAGCACATCGGCATGGAGAAATGTGAAATATAGTGATGGATCTCATTGCTGTAGGATAAGGAATGGCACTGGTGGTGGCGCAAAGTTGTGCAGTTAGCAGAATTAGTTTCAGCTGTGTTAATTACGTTGCAGCAGAAGTTCACGGATGTGGTATATTTCAATGAAACAAGAGAGGATTATGGTACTAGATGATGTGTGAGAAGAAAGTGTTTTTTAGATTTAAGCTTCTAGTTATGCTGTAGGTTGAAATATCTCATTTTCCTTTGCAAAGAAAGATGATCTGGATCATATTCATCTTTTGTTATGTGTGCACGCATTGCAATATATCATAGCAGCTGGTATGATTTGAACAAAATTTGCTAACAAACCCTGAACTGTAAAAAGTCTTATGTTGTCTGACTTCCTTGAAATGTCTTCAGGGAAGTTTTTGTTCAGTCGATTATTATTTGGTGGCTAAAGCAGATTTCAAAAACCTAATGTGCCTATTGGATTGAATAGATCTCCACTGTTTTCTTTGATGATGTTTCAGATTGCTGTGCTGGCAGATGATATCTTGAAAAATGTTGAGTATGATGCTCTAAGGGTTGTTTTTAACAAGTTCCACTCGGTCATATCATTCAAGCCCACAATGACAACCATACTTTCCCCAGAGGTAAATATCGGTGCTGAGGACATGAATTTGTGCTCCTATAAAGTAATATGAATGATGTGACGTTAATACTAGTGGTTTGAATTGTTTTATAGGTTATGGAGAAAGAATCGGAATCTGGTAAGGTTGGTGACCTGGATTCATATGAAATTGAAGGAGGTGAAACTAAATCAGAAATTCTTCAGAATCTTACCGAGTTCCAGTTTTCTTGTGTAAGTTTGTCTTCATTAATCATATATACCTCTCAATAGATGAATTAGCTACAACTATTACAGCCACAAAATCAAGTCGCATCCATAAGGGTAAACGTTCCCTTTGTAGAGAGCGCAATCATTCTTTTTTCAAGGTATCCTAGTGGTATCTTATGTTTTTGCTTTGTGGCAGGTTATGTATAATGCTGCTCTAGAGAATGCATGCAGTGAGCTTGGAGCACGTATGTCTGCCATGGACAGCTCCAGCAGAAACGCTGGTGAAATGCTTGATCGACTCACCCTCACATACAACAGGTATGGTCGTCTTACCTTCTCCATCTGTTTATGTGTGTCGACTGCATAACGGTCGGAAATGGTCGGAAACGGTATCATTATTTTATTATTTTCTCGAAACGAACGGAAACGGTCGGGAAATTTCCATATTTATGAATTTATCTATTTAGTGTCAACTTCAATGCCACGCCGACATAAATTAAAAAAACTAAATTTTGAATACGGTAACCATCGGTTAAAATATTATTATTATATTAGTTTTGCGGAAATGGTATCGGTACGGTCGGGAAATTTCCATACCGTTTTCACCCCTATTCACATGAAAGAACTGATACATTCGATTTCATCCCCGCAGGACACGTCAAGCATCTATCACTACAGAGCTCATTGAGATTATCTCTGGCGCTTCTGCCCTTGAGGGATAATGATGAAACTTTTGCCCATCTTTTTTTGTTTTGCTGTTCGAAAAAAGTTCACTTGTCATATGGAGCAGCCTTTCCCTCGAGTGGATCCTCATGCTAAGTTGCAATAATTAGCCCAGTTACGTGACGGTGCTATGCATATATCAGAAATGCTTGTTCCAGTCATCCTTGTTTATCTGAATGGCGACGTATTTTAAACAATCTTTTACAGCTGTGTTCATTTTGCATAAATGATTGATCACTGTTCTGCGTTGAATTTATCTAGAGCTTTCTCTTTTCTTTTTTTTTTTTGTGTCCGCAACCATTCATCGGTATATCCCGCTCATTACACAAATTCACTTATCTATCTGTTTGGTCAGACTGAATCGATTTGTTTAGTTGGTCAGACTGAATCGATCTGCTTGGTTGGTCAGACTGAATCGATCTTTTTGGTTGGGATTCGTCATGTTTGAGATGGTGGGATTCATCTTTGGCGAATCCCTCCCCATTGGGAGGGATAATGTTAACGGCGCTGCTTCCTCTCTATTCTTCAGCAATTCGCCCTTCGGCTGCTTGTGTTGGCTGAGAGCCTGGACTGCAGTTGGCAGGCTTTGGGCTCTCAATCCTCCGTAATTGCTAGTTCGTGACCAGTCGTGCGCCAGCCCGCGCCCGTGATCACCACTTTTATCATTTTGCCTAGATGAGTTTTTGTCAATCCATCTATTTCATTCTAGGTATCTTAATGTGTGGCTGAATCTATAATTTATGCTTGAACCACAATACTAGGTATGACTTGTCCCTTAACTCCTAAAGCCAGTGCAAGTAAGATCGCAAGGTGGTTTAGACGGTGGGTTTTACTGACGTGGTGCCTACATGACGTTGATGTGCCACCAACATGATGACGTTCACATGGCACGTTAAAAGTAAAAAAAAAACATGGGATCCACATGTGAGTGAGTGTTTGATTAAAAATAAAAAAATTATAGTAGAACCCTCATCTTCACCCCTCTCCCCTTCTCTCTCCCTTCGCTTCTCTCTTATCTTTGCTCTCTTTTGTTGGCAACATTTTGTGACAAGTCGACAAGTACGATCGCAGCACCTAAACGCCTTGCGGTGATCCTAGAGTCGTCAACCACTTCGATCTAGCCAAAGGGCCAAATTAAGATGGGTTTTGGAGAAAAACAGCTAAATCGGTTAGCGGAGCCGATTTAGAGATCAAAATCAGCCTCTAGGCCGATTTAGATCGATATGAGGATAACTACCCGTCTCGTGGGCGAAACGGAAGGTTTCCAGTACAAACCTACAAAGAGGTATCGCACTCTCGCAGCGGTGGCGGACGGTTTACGGTGCAAACCGACAAAGATGGACTAAACTAGGGTAAATAGAAAACATAGTAAAAGAACGATTCAAGTAGATTGTATTCGGGGGTTTTACAATGAACCGGCCTTGTCCCTTAAATAGGGGTTGGTCTTGCCCTCTACAGGCCCTTCTCCATGTTCAACTCGGGATAGAAACTAAAGGAAACACGAAACATGCCTTCCCGAGCAAGGAAACCCGAGACCCGACGAAAACAGACTCAGACTCGGACCCTGCCGGTCTGACCGCCCACATACCTACGGTCAGACCGGTTCTACTAGCCGGTCAGACCGCCCATATACGTGCGGTTTGACCGGCCCTGTGAAGGAAACCCGGTACTTTCCAAACTTTGGCAATTTTCCCCTATTTCGTCCATAGGTGCCAAATTTGGGTGTAAACATCTTTCTCCTCTCTTCTCTCTGCTCTCTTTCTCTTCTCTCAGAGCGTCTATTCTCTCTCAGAGCGTAAGCACGGTGGAGCTCGGGGGCAGCCATGGATAGTGTTGATGGAAAAAAACACACTGGCCTGAAAGAGTTGCTTCACTCTAGTGCATGTCCAAATCTTGCTTTCGAGTTCAATGCATGCAGTTGGTTTTTATCCTGCAACCAACAAGAACAGAATAAAACAGTTAAATCTGTAAATGATAGTCGATAAGCTAGAAAGCTTATGACCTATCGTCTTTAACCTAGCCGATGCTATCAGGTATAGTCACAAAAGAATATGAACAAACCCTAAGTATGTCGTATCGGCTGTAAAGGCAAACAATCATATAATCTCTAAATCAATCTTATCTAAATTATAGACAAACTGTATAGATCGGACCTAACCGAGACAGTATGGACTTAGAGATTAGATATGTTTATATCTGTTGTCGAATAGACAACTGCGTCACGTCGAAAGGCGTGGTTCTCTCAACAGTGGTTGGAAGTAAGAACAATTGTATTACTTAGTGAAAATTTTTTTGGATCCCCCCCATTACATGGTCTTAGGGGGCTATTTATAATCCTATTACAGGCTCCCCTTTTAGGGTTTAGGTTTTACAGGGGAATTTCCATGGTTACCCTTATGATAAGGACATTATTAGGGGCACACAATGTCTTTTACATGTATAGATATTGGGCCATAAATGGCTTGGCCCATCTATTTGCTGAAGTCTCCCGAGGGCTCGGCGGTCCGCTGGGCCTCCTGGCGATGAGGTTCGGTACCTTGGCGAAACCCGTGCCTCTGTGCCGAGGCTTTTGCCTCTTCATCTTTGCCCATGCGGCCCTCCGACATGGTCTCCGCTTGGCGAAGTTGACGTATTCCTAGCTACGGCTTTCGCCATGCGCCCTTCGCCCGTTGTGGTTGTCTTCCTGACCTTCGCCATTTGTCTCCGGTCCGGGCTTGTCGCCTAAGCTCTTGGTTTCGGTGGTTCCGGCCGAAGGGCCCCGTGGTGTACCTCCAACAAGCCCCTCACGGGCAAGGGTGAGTAGGGAGTTTCGGCCGAGATCGTGCACACCATGTTGGTATACCGCGGGGCGCCTCATTTCGGCCGATGTTCCTACCGAAACCTGTCTTCTATTCTGCATAAAATAATATTTCGATTTGGTTGTCTTGGTTTTCATGCTTGTGAACAGTGTTGGGCTTATTGGGCCGACCGTTTGCAATCTTCGGCCATTCACTGTTTCGGCCCGCACTGATGGGAAATTACTGTTCCATACACTCCTGGCTTACGTGGCGGGTTTTGATTGGGTGGTAGGCGAATCGCCTTGCGGGTGAGCTATATATACCCCCTCCCATTGCTTTCACTTTTACTTTCACCCTTAGTTATTTTTGCCGTTTTCCCTGCCGCCCAGACCGTCTCTCTGCGCTTAAGAGTTTTCGACTTTTACCCCAGCTTGCCAACCCTTAGGTTACTCTAGGCTCCTGCGCTATCCTTTCATGGCTCTTCTTCAACCAACGGCCCTGACCCGGGAAAGGTCGGTGAAGACCACTCCGGATACCTAGGTGCCTCGCTCATTGATGAGGCGGATTTGACAAAGCTTGCCTCGGCCAGGGTTGTGGCGAGCGGTCAGGTCTTCGCATCTGCCAAGGCTGTTGTGCCGAAGCCCGGCAAGAATCAGACCGTGGTCTTTGTTGCCTTTTTCGACGCAGGGCTTCGTTTTCCGTGCACCTCCCTGTTGCCGGAAATACTTCATCTTTTCGACGTCGAGTTTCCCCAACTCAGCCCTTCCGCCCTGGTTCGGATCAATATCTTCGACTGGGCATGCCGAACTGCCGGTTTCGAGCCGACCGCCGAGCTGTTTGGGGCGATTTTCTACGCCATTGTCAACTCGAAGACGGTGACTACCCCAGCTGGCACTCAGAAAACCGTCTTCGGAAGTGCGAACTTCAACATTCGCCCGGAGCGCTCTGACATATGGCCAGTGAACGCGTCCATGCCCAAGTGGGATCGGCACTGGATGTCGAAATGGTTCTACCTGTTGATGCAAAAACACGAGGCCTAGAAGATCTGCTTAACTTTAGTGCAGGTCCAAAAATCTTGCCTTTTAAGTTCGTGAGCATGCCAGTTGATTTGATCCTGCAATCAATAAGAAATAAAGACAAATAAACCGCGGTTAAATCCATAAATGATAGCTGATCGGCTAATTGCCGATGACATATCATTTATCTCTGAGCCAATGTCATATTTGAATCGATTGGCAGAGGTAAATAAGTAAGAAAGGACTAAATCTATTCGATCGGCTGTAGATATTAACAATATATAATCCTTATGTCGATACATACTTAAATCAAGTGATTGGGATAGATCGGACGTCATGCCGAGACAGTATAAATCATTTAGATCGAAATATATATTAACAATGAGATTATAGATGCTCATAGCATAGCCGATCAGATAGATCAGCATGTATCGGCTAATACTCCGATACCACTCTATATTAAGATATTAATGCAAGTAAATTATATCAAGAAAGAAGTGTAATATACCTAGATGCAACAAGATCTTAACATAAAGGGCGGATCTAGCATGTCAATTAAGCACATAAAATATAAGGCTAAATCAGGTAAGACCGGCTGAAACCCCGATACTACTCTAATCGGCAATCTAATCGGCAACCAAGAAGCAGGCTAGAGATTAAGATTCTAATCACGACTTATAAGGTCAAACTCATCTGATGCAGCTATAAGTATAAAAAGAAGAACAATATCTAGACAATCAAGCCATTTGATGTTTCATAGAGTGGTGGATATCCTATATAATCTAAGCCAACGTTGCTACTTAACCTAATCGGCTGCCTTGCAATGATAGATGTTAGCCGATTGAAGGTTAAATAACGATATTGTCGAAGATTATACAGAATATATGATAACTCGATGAATTACATAAACAAGATTAGAGTATCATGAAGATGGAAGCACTAATCCCGAGAACGCAAGCCGCCATAACAAGTTTTACCTCTAGTTGAAGATCGAAACCAATGCAGCTCAACCCGAAAGCAAGAACTCGTCGAAACAAAACGAAAGTAAAAGGGTGGCGATGCGCCAAGATTGTATTGAACGTCTGTTGTTTATTACATGGGGCTCGGGGTCTATTTATACCCGAGATTACCATGTCGGACACGACTCTTATCTCTAACAAACTCTAAGATACCATAAGTGTTTGCGACAGACTTTTGCCCAAACATATCTCTAAGGAAATTACATGAAATATCCTAATTAATAGATACAATTGCCTTCTCAGGACTCAATCCGTGCATGGCAATCCTCATGAAGCACATTAACTCAACCCGACAACGTGTACCGCGTCACATTTTCGGACTCGGGTCAATCGGCTAACCCTATCCAACTCGGATTCTGCCAATCCCGGTCGCAGCCGATTCAGACTTTAGCCGATCCTTGCTCTGTTTTCGGAACGATTTCCATCTTGGATTCCGCCTCAGTTTTATCTCCATCTCCGATAT